CTGCATGCGTTTGCACCTCTGCGATGGATCCTTGGCATTAGTCCGTCAAACCCAATCGTTCCATCTTTGGCCCGCCCCTCTTCCCCAACAACAGCTTATCATGTATCCTAGAGAAAGAGCATGTACTGCCTTACCTCCTTCTCCGCACCATGGGCAAAGGCGACCATCTGAAATCCAGATGGGGCTAGAAATCCCGTGCCGCTGGTGTGCTGATGGGATGTGCATCGGGGCTGTCCCATCTGTTCGTTCTGGCATGAGCATGATGGCATCCCGTCGGCGGTGCATGGAAGTGCACGCTATTTCGTGACTACCTTACCCAGTGCTATGGCGGAACTACAGGGCCGGGCCGCCCCTAGTAAAAGTATCGAGTGAGGCCGGGCAGCGCCGTCACCGAGTCGAACCGGGGCGTTTGGTGCTTTGCCTGACCGGCCGAGCGCTAATGGAGGTGCATTACTAGTGCTTGAATCTTGAATCCTCATCTTGACCTCTGAACACTGTCGACTTCCAGACAGAGTGTCAGACGGGTGATCCTGGAACATCGGGGAGGGATTCAAATGTTCCTTGTTGGGCCGACTTGACACGGAGTGACCAAGATCCGGCTGAGCCATACGTCGAGCCCAGGGCCTGGGATGGTGGCTTCGAACGAGATGGGCGGGGAAATTCTATCATATATGATGGTTCTTTTTCCGTGTCTAGACAAGGAGGCATATGCCAAGCGGCTGGTTTGCGGTTGGCGCCTAGAGAGGAGAGGCATGATGTGGCGGACAGTGGAGCAATCGACTAGCTGTTGTCAGTCACCTCAGCGGCGCCTTGTTCGATCAAGTTGATTCTGAGACGCGCTGGGCGCCGGAGGGATGAGTCTCTGCCGTCTTGCATTCAGCCTATAGAACCAGAAAGGACTGAGTGTCCACTGCACCATCGGGATATACCGGCGCGTGCTATCGAAGTGGTCGGCGATATGATATCAATGAGGGTGTCGAGGAAGACTTGAGAAGGAAGTTTACATCGAAAGAACAGACCAGACATGGGGTGCAGCGCGGCTGCGGTTGATGTGAGGGGAACATGTCGTTTGGACTGGGGTCTGATTGTGTGGGGAAGGATGGGACATCGATATGGAGTTGAAGTGAATCAAGCTGTGGATTTCTCCTGTGGATTGTGTTGTGGGATGCCACGAGGTTGACATGAAAGCTTTGACTGGAGGGAAGACTTCATGTTCGAAACCAATGGTTTCGCCCTGAGGTTGATTGGGCCGCTACAACTCTCAGAGTCACAGCCACTTCGGCTGGGCGGCCGCTGTTGAGGCATTTCTTACTTGGTGATATTTGGTTCTGGTGCCCAACCTAAACATTGGCAAGCAAAGCGGTTAGCGATAGGAGAGACTCACAGCCGAGCCTATATTGCCGTACTAGTTGCCGATCGGCGTTGCAAGTAACAGGCCTGCGAGTGCGTCGACCCTTGGCAATGGCATATTGCCCAACGCGGATGGCACTGTTGTGAATGTGTGGACTAACAACTCCATGGACCAAGGCTCAGCAAGATCGCGCTTTGGTTGTGGCTGCACCGTGAAGAATGGTAAGCAGGAACAAGGGGGCCAATGTCGCTCCTCAACCATTTCCCGAGGCCTCTCAAGAATTCGTGGAGGTAATGATAAGTCGGCACACCAGTACAGGCCTCCAGGTGCGCTGCATGATAGCCCAGACTTGTAGCAACACGCGTCCTGGTTCAGGTTCGGACCTCTCGGTGCTCTAGGCTGTCAGGCCCTCGCCGTCTCCGCCTTGTTGGGGCAGACGAGGTTACGGCTTGCCTGAACATCTGCTGGCGAGTCGCTCTTTTGGGACTGTTGCAGGAAGCACATGCTTCGAAGAATGACCGTGAGAGTGGGCGATAGTCTGAATGATGATAGGGCCTGTAGAGGGTAGACATGGGTTCCTGTGGAATTTCTTCGCAAGGCGCATCCTCACGGAACCCGAAAACCCAGAGCGAAGTTTCCCCGCGCCGTGGTCTCTCCGAACCTCAAGATCGAAGTGGGCACTGTTGAGCCACACCCGCTTCGGTGGATGAAGGTGGATAGGAAGCTGGGCCGAACTGGCCGGGTGATTGACTAGATATTTGCAGATGGAGACAAAGTTGTGGCTCTCCCCGAGTCCCCTTTTAGTTTCAAGGGGGGCCTCCTGTCACATGAACAAGCTGCTCCATATCAGAATGGTCCATCAAAAATCTTGAGCGCTGAAGAAACAGAGGGGGAGAAAGGCAGGAGAAAAGAAGAAGACAAAAACGTGGAACGCGAGCCCAACTCCACAGGGACCAAGGACCCGGCCAGAGCCAGAGATTCCACCCAAGGTGTAGAAGCATGACATGGGAGCCAAAAAAGAAGAAGGAAAAAAAAAAATATCAAGGTTGCTTTGACCGCTCGGTCAAACTGCACAAGCTTCAATCAAGACCCTGCTGGTCCCAACCCGTCTCTTATTCAGCTTGTTGTAGAGCTCTCCCAACACTGGGCGACACCAACCAGGCATTGCTTGAGAGCCTACAATGGTGGAATTAAGAGCTTGCATGATGGATTGAGTTTGGGGTTCCGCGTTGCACCAGGTCCAACGTGGGCAACGGAGGCCAGGGGACAAGCTCTCGGATTACCATTGCCGGGGAATATGCGATGCTAGTTCGTGGCCCGTAGTAATGTTTGTTGAAGCTCTCTGGCGGTGCTACGAGTGAGTCTTCCTCGACGGCAGATGGATCAATAACGTAATGCTCCACGACGATGACAGGATCTCAAAGTTGTCTATCGGAGGCGCTGCAGGCGACAAACAACCGCCCAGAAAACCATTCATCTCAGCTTTGAGGATTTCGTCAGCGAGGCGTGCTTAGACGTGTGGTCAAAGGGCGGCCACGCGATGGGCGGCGAGTGGAAGGGTTACCCAGGGTGGCGTATCGTCAATCCAAAGGGGTTTGTTCGTCGTAAGGCGAAGCACCAGGTTATCTCTGAATATCGGGCTGTGCTGGGGTCGCACGAGGTGCATATGCAGCGTCGATGTTGATGTGCAGGCGTGCTGTACCGTAGAACGACGCTTGTCTGCGCGCCAGGGTGGTGGGCGGCAACGCTCTCAGGGAAAGGAACGTCCTGGCTCGGTGGTATCGCCGAGCTATTGGAGGACCTGGTGATGGCCATGGTGGTGGTGATCGATGCTCGTGCCGAATCTCGTCGGGCAAAACTAAGCGGCGATGTGGTGGCTGGCTGGCAGTGATGATTTGTTGGAGCTGCTGCTGAAGAAAGATGAACAAGGTGGTCGTAGTGATGGTTATGCTGGTGGTGGTGGTATTGTTTAGTGTTAGTGTTTGTCTTTTGTTTCCCCCTCATTCGAACCAAAAGGAGAAAAGAGGAGTCAAGGTGAAGGTCAAGAAGAAGAGGGGGCTGCGATGACAGAGATTGGGCGAGGATGTGAGAGAGACGTCAGAAGCGAAAGACTACGTGATGATGCCAGATCAGATGTGATGCTTTCCGGATGTTTCTTGTAGCAGCCACGGCCGACGCATAATTGTATTTTCGTCTCCATTTCCCACGAAAGGGGCCCCTTCCGCTCCCCGTTTGCGCCAATCTGGCAAGTGTACCTTACCAAATAGCAGTGGCTTGCTGGCGCGTTGCACTTGATTGATTGAGTGACAGGAGGGGTGAGAGAGAGAGGCAGGAAACACTGGTGAAAAGAGTGTCCATGACATGAGTCTCAAGTCATGCCCCTTCAGCTTGAATGAGGCGGACTGAACGAGGTAACAAGGGGGCAAGCGGGCTTGTCTCGACAATATCGATGGCACCCTGAAATCAGCAGACCCAACCCAGGGTCACGAAGCGCATCATCTTCCCACTGGCTCGTGCTGTTCATGATGGGAGTGAGTGAGTGAGCACAGTCTGGGCCGGCCAGTCCTGGTCTGACATGTTGGAAATTCAGACCGAAAGCTTGACCAAAGAGAGTTCTTTTAGTCACAAATGAGAGAATCCGACCATTCGCAGTGCAATGCTGAGAGTCCCGGCTGATGATGGACGATGAAAGTCACATTCACGGCTCCTGTCGGCCTTGAGGGAACGACACATCATTAGTCCATCATCAGTCACATTTGCCTTTTTGTCTTTTGCACTTCCCAGCTTTGGCTTTCTTCAATCATTGGCACGCCACCGTGTCTCAATGTCTTGAACCCTGGGGTAATAAGAAAACCTTTCGGTCGTCCGGTCAGCTACGGAGCAGTCTTTTGGTGGTCCGCTAGGTGCCTGTAATTGAGGAACATGGCTGTCGAAACTGGCCAGTCTTTTTACGGCGCTGTGGCTTCCGTCCAGTCATTCCCGAAGGATCCCTGACGTTGCCTTGGGACCACTGACCAGGGAAGATGGGCAGCATCACCATCCCTGTCAGCCCCAAGATTCTGAAAAGTTACAGCGGCACGGAAACCGAGGTGTCTCTGCGGATACGTACTGGACGGAGTAAGGCAAAGGTCTAAGGTAGCTAGGGTGGTGATGTTCGTACCGCGAATCCGTTCCGGTAGCAGCCATCGCGGCACCTGGCTTCTTCCAATTCTTCCCGCATGAGGTAGGATTCTGTTTTGGTCGTGTTGCTCGGGGATGATACACCAACGGCGACAAGCTTCCTTTCTATTCTGGTGGGAAACATGCTTGTCAAGTTGTCAGACTACAACAGCAATACCTAGGTGACGGGCAACACCAACTTCAATGTACACAGTTGTACTTCCTCCTCTTCACCTAGTAGACGCGGATAAGGAGAGGCCTCACCGAGAAGGAGAGACGTTGCATTTCTCACATTGAGCTTTCCCCAGACGAGACGGCGGCTGGCCTGGGCCCCATCGTCCGCTCGCTCTGGAACCGTAGAAAATGTCCGTTGCATGGCGTGGCATGGTGTTGCATGCTATCTCTAGGGGGGGTGGTTAGGGTAGGATGAAAGAGGCATCTCACACTCAGCGATGTGAAGGAGGGACGGGCAGAACAGGACCGACATGGACGATGGGACAAGATAGCTGAGTTCCCTTGGATTCTTCAATCATGCTCTTCCGTCTTCCATGCAGTATCACCCCCGAGCCGTGAGGTTGTGGCTAGTTAAAAGTCTCCTGCCATCCCGATCTTCGATTCCCTTCCCGTCCCTCGTCCTCTCGTTCCCCACACTAGCTCTTTGGCTTTCTCGGCTCTTCCTTGATTTATCCTGGGCCATCTCCGTCACCTTCTGGAGCTCAGAATTCGTCGAGCCTCTGCAAACCAAAAAACTCCGTGTAGTTGGATCCTCTGGCGGAACAAAACCTCCTGAAGCTATCCACCACAACTCAGCATCGTCGTCAGCATTACCGCCAACCTCCAGCTTTCCTGCATCTCCTTCAGTCTTCGGCCTCATCGTCGTCCACTTCATCATCTTCGTCGCCCTTCTCTGAACATCGCCGTCCACTCTACCGGACGTCTGCTCCGTCGTGGACCCGTCGGGTCCGTCGCATTCCACACGTGCGTTCAGTCGTCGACCGCCAGGGCTGCAGCTGGCCAACCCATCCACACTTCCCAATCCCACCCCTCCCTCGCTCGAGGTCGAGCTCCCCCCGTCTACCTAGCCGTTCACCCGGTCTCCAGTGTCGAGGGTGCATCGCTGTTGCGACGTGGAACACCCTACCCCGGGGCGCCCAACTTAAAACGACATTTGACGCCGCGAAGAAAAAGTCGAGGGACGCTGATGACCAGACCCGAAACGCGAAACATATTCAGATTAGAAAATCAGGGGAAATAATCTGCAATTCTATTTCTTCAAAGAGTCGAAAAAAGACAGGTCCAACGGGATTCTCAACATCAGGTAGCACCACCGCCACAACCACCACGCAAGCCTCAAAAGGCCAACAAAATCCAACCAAAGCTACGGACGGGCTACCCAAAGTACAAGCTACCTACCATACGAATACCTACCAGTCGCAGGGAGCGAATAGCCGGTTCGAATCAAGGTAGCTTCTCTGGCTAGCGGCAGCCTCTTTTCTACCTATCTCTAGGCTCGAGGTCCCGTCTACCTTGCTCGCTGCATCTCATCTTGCAGCTGCCTCTCCAGGCTCTGTTTTGTCCAGCACTTATCCAGCAATACGAAGAGGTACACATCGACTCTGAGTGTCTCTCCGGTTCCGTCTTGGTAGACGGCGTGCATTAGCCTCGTTTTGCGCAGTCTCGACTTGTCGACGGTACGTCTCCGTGCGCTGCGTTAGTTCCCACTCGCATTCGTCGCCTCAAGGCTCAAGGCTCAAGGCTTAGGAGTCCAGGGTACGTAGCTCGGTTTCCTCATTACGTCAGTGACGTTCCTCGCCCGTTGGCAGTTGCTTCCCGTCCGTCCACCTTGTTGTTTTGTTCTTTCCTTTCCCGGCCAAGTTTATCTCTCACCCTCATCTCACTCTCACTTTCCTCCTTTCATCTCACTCGTGGCCTCGAACAGTCGGTCATCTAAGAGTAAGGGTGAGAGAGCTAGAGAAAAAGAGAGAGAGAACCTTATGAGTGAGTGAATGAGAGAATAAGTGAGTGGGCTGGGCCGTTCCGCGAATGGCGTCACCTTCAAAAAGTACGCTTGCTTCATTGCAGTCCGTCTCCCCAGCCCATCCATGCCTCTAGTACACTTGAAGGAGACGGTTTTCATCATTTTATCCTCACAATTCCACTTCCCACGCTCTCCAGGCTCTTGCAGTTGCAATCCATCCCGAGAGCTTCCACACCCCTGGACCATCCAACAGCCCATCATCATCAATCAGCCTTCACCCCAGTCGAGTCCGTCCAATTCCCTCCGGGCCAATCCCGCTGCTCCATCCACATTTTCACACTTGCAGCTCTCCCGGTCAGTGACAGTCCAGTCAAATTTCAACATCCACCACGCCCACACCACATCCACTTCACCCTCACCTTAAACTCGCACTAAAGTACAATCCCCGTCCTGTCCTGTCCCATATTATCCCGTCCAATCCCACCCTCTCATCGTGACTTTTTTTTTTTGCCCAGGGTTGAGGGCGAGAGAAGGAAAAAGTTTGAGAAAAAAGACCGAGAGAGCGGCATTCCCACCCCACTTTGGAATATTCTCGAGAAAACGTTGCATGCCGAAACATCGCGGAGAAGACAGAAGAAGGAGAAGAACACAAGACAAACGCTTCACGATACTCTCTGTACAGACACAAACACTACTCCGTACCCGTCATTCTATCCTCACTTCTTCTGTTCCCACTGTTCCCTTTCCCCCCTCCACCCACCCCCGATCGATTCCTCGCAGCTGCATCGCTCACTGGCCCAACCGTTTTCTGTGTTTTCCCTGACGCATGCGCCTCCGCCCAGCCCAGTGTCAGCCAGTGCTATTTTACATTACGCAAGGCTCAGGCTCTGGCTGGTCCGGGGACAAGGACCAGCACTTGATGAACCAAGAAAATAAAAAAGCTCAAAGCTGACGGTACATTTTGCGCAGCTCCCAGCAACACAGCAAGCAGCAGCCACAGCAACAACTACAACTGCACAGCTCCCGGCAGCTCTTTATTTCCAAATTCTCCCTTCGCCTCATCTTCCAGTCCTTTACATCCTCACTTTTCTTACCTGACCTAAAGGAATCCTCACTCACATTTCACCTACGGCTGTGTCTGAGACAAGCATCAATCCAATCACCTCGCACTGCTCTCCCACATTTCACCTCAGCCACAAACACACGCCCCTCCGTCTGTTCATCGACCATCCCGTCCTTTTGTAGGGGCTTTTCTCAGCAAGAGGTACTTTGCTACAAACGAACAACGTCACCTCGCCTTCGGTTCCTCTCCCTCGCCTTGACAACGGAGAAACCTCTCAACTCAACCCAGAACACATTTACTTGAGCTTTTCAACCACACACCACTTCGACTCTTCCCACATGTTCTGCCCTACGAAAAGCTGCTGATAGCTACCCGTCTCCTCCGTCTCGACCTCCTCGTCAACTTTTACTCAACCTCCATCCCTTGCCATCACTCGGCGGCCTCTTCAAACCGGACCATCTACCTCCCCGAGGCCTTTTCCCACTTTCACACGACACAGACGGCTAGTTACCAGCCAGATTGCCCAACATGACGGTATTTATCGCATCATTGTAAGCTCTTTTCCGCCTCAAGATGATGATACTCCTGCTTTACTTGCCTTCCGGCCATATCAACCTCAGCGAAGTATCTGCCAGGATACCCCCCTCTGCGCAGATGCTTCTCATGCAACCATCCAAGACGCCCACCGGCTGCTAGGCTTCAATCTTGATCGCCTTGCCATGCAAGATCGAGAACTAATTTGCCAACGTCCAGATTTCTCCCTAAAACCGTCCACTTCGCCCTCCCTGGAACGCCTCAGCGTGGCGACCCTTTGCGCCGCGCCAAAAAGTCCGAAAACTCCCAGCGAACCGAAGGCGACAGCCAACCGAGTCTCTTCAACCCGATCCGCGACATTACACCTCCCATCACCCCGACCGAAGACGTTGTCCCGAAAGATCCCTTCACGAACGAGGACGGTTTCCGTATATTCCCCGACGAAGAGCGCAAGCGTGGTGCGCCAATCGACAAAGGTTCTCCCAAGTGGGGTGCTAGAGCCACCCAGCCCAAGTCCCGCGCGAGCTCGCCCCCGCCTGCCTTCATCGCCGAGCATAGTCGCACCCTCGAGAAGGCCAGAGAACTTGGTCGTCAGGGCATCACCCAGCCCAGGCCGCTCGTTAGACGCGACAGCCATGACCGGGTCTTTTCCCACGCCAACTGGCGCGTTATGAACGCCGACCAGGGCAACGGTGGTTTGCGCAACGCCGCCGAGGCCGCTGCCCGCGATGGCAAGCTTGGAGAATACACTTGGGTTGGCACCCTCGGCATGCCCACCGACGCCCTCGAGGGCACCCAGCAGAAGCAGGACATCGAGGACAGGCTCGCCACCGAGCACGACATGCTGACCGTCTTCTGCTCCGACAAGGACTTTGACGGCCACTACTCGCACTTTTGCAAGCAGATTCTCTGGCCCGTCTTCCACTACCAGATCCCCGACAACCCCAAGAGCAAAGCCTTCGAGGATCACTCATGGAAGTACTACGTCAACGTCAACCAGGCCTTTGCCGACAAGATTGTTAAGAACTGGAAGCGCGGCGACGTTATCTGGGTGCACGACTACCACCTGCTGCTTGTTCCCGGCATGGTGCGCAAGAAGCTGCCCGACGCCAAGATTGGCTTCTTCCTGCACGTTGCCTTCCCCTCTTCCGAGGTTTTCAGATGCTTGGCCGTGCGCAAGCAGCTTCTCGAGGGCATGCTGGGTGCCAACCTCATTGGCTTCCAGATCCACGAGTACACCCGTCACTTCTTGCAGACCTGCAGCAGACTGCTGAGTGTCGAAGCAACTACTGACGGACTGCAGTTGGAGGACCGTTTTGTCGACGTGGTTAACTTGCCCATCGGTATTGATCCTGTCAACCTTAGCGAACACCGCGGCGACAACGATGTGAAGAGATGGGTCGAGATCATGAAGGAGCGCTACCAGGGCAAGAAGCTCATTGTAGCTCGCGACAAGCTCGACCACGTTCGCGGCGTTCGTCAGAAGCTTCTTTCCTACGAGCTGTTCCTGAACAAGAATCCCGAATGGCGCGACAAGATTGTCCTTATCCAAGTCGCCCTCTCCGGTAGCGAAAAGTCTGATTTGGATGCCACTGTTAGCGACATTGTCACCCGAGTCAACTCTTCCTGGGCCAACCTGGCTTACCAACCCGTCGTCTACTTGAAGCAGGATATCGACTACCCCCAGTACCTTGCCCTATTGACCATGGCCGATGCGCTGATGATCACGAGCCAGCGCGAGGGCATGAACTTGACATCGCACGAGTATCTCTTCTGCCAAGATGGCGAGGTCTTCTCCGAGAAGAAGCATGGCTCACTAATTCTGTCCGAATTCACTGGTACCTCGTCGCTATTTGGCGGCAACGAGCTTTCGGTCAACCCCTGGGACTACCGCCAATGCGCCGACGCAATCAAGACAGCACTCGAGATGGGCGACGAAGAAAAGGAACGCCGCTGGACTGCGCTTTACTCGGCCGTCATGCACCACACCGGATCGCACTGGTTCAGCGAATTCTTGTCCCGCCTCGATCGCGTATACGACGAGCAACACAAGCACGACCAGACTTCGGTCCCACGTCTCAACATCAACACTCTGGCTCAGCGATACTCTCGCAGCAATCGACGCCTTTTTATCCTCGACTATGAAGGCACTTTGGTTAGTTGGGGCCCGATGAACCAGATCATCCCTGTCAGCCCTCAGGTAAGAATCTTTTCAAGAACCTCTGCTTTATTAACAAGTCTAATTGGAGCAGCGTACCCTGGATGTCTTGAATGAGCTTCTGCTCGACGAGCGCAATACCGTCTACATCATGTCCGGTCGCCGCCCCGAAGAGCTCGACCGATTGTTCCGCCGCGTACCCAACCTCGGTCTCATTGCCGAGAACGGCTGCTTCCTCAAGGACTGCGGCAAGAACACCTGGCAGGAGATGGCCGACAGAGAGCAGATTTCCAGCTGGAAGGAGTCCGTCAAGTCCATCATGACTTACTTCCTCGAGCGTACCCCCGGTGCCGAAATCGAAGAGCGACGCTGCAGCTTGATCTTCCACTACAAGAGCGCCGAGGATTACGAGTCCGCGGCCCGCCAGGCTGGAGATTGTGCCAGTCATGTCAACGATGCATGCGAGGCACAGCGTGTCCACGCCATTCCTCTCGATGGCTCCATCGTCGTTGAGCCCATTGACTGGACCAAGAGCACCGCGGCAGAAAAGATCTTCGATGATCTCCGCGTCCACATGGCCCCTGACTCGGAACACAAGAGCCCTGTTGACTTCCTCATGGTCGTTGGTGACGGGCGTGAGGATGAAAAGGTGTTCAAGTGGGCCAACGCTCTTGGAGAAGACAAGGTTGTCGAGGATGTTGTTACTGTCAGCTTGCACAGCCGCAACACTGAGGCTGGTGCGACGTTGACACAAGGTGTGAGCGGTAAGTTGATTGTCCCTATGCCCAATTTCGTACTCAAGTATTAATTGTGACTAGGTGTCTTGCTAGCTCTCCAGAAGCTTGCCACTACTCAGTAAAGGGAGCTCTTAATCGGGCTATGGTGAAGTCGAGCAAACGGCTCTACGCTGTGAACCCTGTGCTGCCAACGATTGGGCGCACAACATTTGATCGTAATTGACCTGGCCATGCCACCAGGCGAATGATACCACAGTGGGATAGCATGGAGAGACGGAGTGCAAAGGCGTATAAAACAGGAAGCTAGGATTTCTTTTTTTTTTCTTTTGAACTCTTTCCTATCGGCGAAGGAAAGGATCACGAACATGGCATTTGGGAAACCATGACGACTGCATTGGCATGCATCATACGCATACGAGGGGCGACTCTCGCAAAGGATTATTTCCTAATGTCTTTTTTTTTCTTTTACTCTTTTTTCCAGTTTCTGTTTCTTCTTCAGTACCACACACACCTCACGAGTTAACGCTTAGTTATGTTCGCTGCCTGCGGATTTTAACGTGAAGCTTGTGACGATGCAGATGACTGACCTTGAGACGTTTTACCATTTTTTCCGAGTACACAACCCCCTACTCTGCTGTATTATCAAATTCTTGTTGTTGCGTATCGTGTGTAATCGGGGGCTAAGGATTGAGACGCATCCCCCTAGGTACCGTTAGGATACCTGTCTGTGTATTTGTACGAAGTGGGACGAAGAAAGACGCATGAAGATTAGAAGGAACGCAGAGGTTTAGATTGGGGCGTGGGTAGCATCATACCAACTATCACGGCACCCTCACATATGGATGAATAACTAGCCTTGCCACCAAGTTACGTGACGTTTCTCATGAGTGATGCAAATCATGTGTATCGCGACGAATGAATTCTTTCATCGCCGCCCTTTACAGCTTTGCTAGCACGTTCCGATGCCAAAGTCTCATCAACGGCCCGTCTACTCCGTATACTGGATCCCGTTCCGGCATGCCAACATCTCTGATGACCGGGCTGAAGGTGCCGGCTGGCTTTTTGCCCATTTCATTCACCCATCTTGGACACCCCTAGACCATGTGTATAGTGTAAGCTAGATGCCGTGCACATTTGTGTCCTGTGGCTATGGAGAAGATGAGATATAGCTGGAGGTAGCTGGTATATCCCCACGGAGAAGAAAAGGGAGCAGGGTAGCATGGTCAAGGCGGAGGATGTGTTAGGGGAAGAATAGGTAGATAGAGATGGCGTGAACAGAAGTAAATAGACTGACCTCGGGATAGACGCCGATATATCGATAATCTTCTGAGCTCTCGAGACAAGAATGTGCCGTGCCCGCGGGGAGAACGATGACGTCGCCCGTCGATACGGCGATTTCTTGGCCTGTCCCCTCATTGATTTTGCCGATTAGGAGGGTTGAGTGGCCGCTGAATATGCCTTTGTGATGGTCAGATACTTGTCTAAAGCTTTCTACTTCACGGTTCGAGATCAAGCCGATGTGGTAAGGGACGGAATGGAAGAACATTAGTTGGGGTGATGAGTTTAGTTGGACGTACCGTAGCACTCGTGGCTGTTTGGGTGGAAGTGGCGGATGGGGATGTGGCCCCAGGTACCCTTTTCCCGGGAGCGCGGAAGTGTCAGTTGAGAATGGATATTTCACTCTCACTAGATATCTGAGGCATGTATCGTGACGATGATGAGAGACCTTGAAAAAGGGAAGGGTGGCGGAAAGGGAGAGTTAAGGTCTATGTTGCACATTGTGATGTGATCATGACAGACTCACCCTCTTCTCCCACCGGTTCCGGGTCAGGAACTCCGTCACCGACTCCTCATTCCGGGGTTCCGGGAGGACGTTTCTGTAGTGGATTACGGGGAGAGGGCTATTCGGGGCGTCTGGGTTGGATGAGAGGAGGTAGCATTCTACTTCCATTGATGAAGCCATGGCTTGGTTTGAGAGCCTCGTGAAGTGCGGAATGGGTGTTAGTCAAAACGAGAGGGATGGCGCTTGGATGGATGATTTCAGGTGGACTAAGAGGGGAGAGAAAGGACCAAGCTTCTATTCTTTACAGGGTCTATCTATTTTGGAGCATGTAGGTACGTATTGCAAGACGGGGTAGGTATTCTAGATGATATGCCAACTCTGGGGCGAAAGGGCAGGGAAGAATTACTTAATTCGGCAAATTTCTTTGCTTACCATTTCATTGCCCGCTATCGGTGGGAGCAAGCCAGGCCATCACTAGTCTTGTCTGTCAACAAAAGGCGGGGGAATGGAGGGGTTTGGAGGGGATGGATGGTGGTGGAGGGGAAACACCTTGACAGGCGGTTCATCGTCCCCGTGGGCCACGGAGATACCGGTCCGTCCCCACTTTGACTTTCGTGCTGCACAATGACACACGTCCGGACCGCGTTCCGGTTCAGACAATGATGTACGATTTTGAATGTGAGACTCTATTTAGCCGGGTACGGCGTTGAAATTCATTTGGTTTGATTTTGGTGAAGCTGGGACATGATCAGTTGTAAGTGGGTGAATTGCTGGACGAGGTTGGCGAGTCTGGGGTAAGACTGGGATGATTGGCTGGGGGTGGAGATATAAACTTCAAAGAGGGGGGGGGGGGCGCTTTTGGGCGTGTAAGACGTGGTTTGGCTCCTAGTAGTATGTGAAAAATACCAAAGCCACAAGTTGAGTAGTATATAATCGCCATTGTGACCATGATTGTGCCTAGTTGTAGTTGAAACAGGATCGACAATTTGAAGGGCTCAATGCGAGAAATTCTTCGTTGAGCCTTGAGACTTTTGCTCGCGTCTTAATGTTGCAACATACCTTCTCAATACCCTTGGGCCATGATATACAAGGACACTCCTGTCAGCAACTCAAAGAGTCATATTAGTGTATGATAGCTCTTTACCAAGATGGATGACTATGCGACGAAGTGGACTAGAGCTCAATTACCCTTTTTCTACCCTTACTAAAACTCACTGATGTGGGAAAAGATATTGAAGTCTTGGATCAGAGGCTTGAATGACTGCGTATGTAGTTAGGATAATTTCTCTAGTCTCTAGTATTTCCGAGAAGCCTATGCTAACAGAGTCCGGTCGCGGTTGCAAAGAAGGTACACATTTTCCTCCTAGACCGGGACCATGACACTTGGCCTAAGAGCCTCAATGGTCTGAATGCTCTCAGCAGACGCACAAGTCTGGTCTTTGACGACATCTGACACTCCCTTCTTCTCAGACTCCTTCATAGTGCTCGGTAGTCTCAATTCCCCTTCAACATACTGCTTCTGTTCGTGGGCCTGAGGGACAAACACAACCGCTCCCGGCGGGAGAGACTCGGCCTTCTGCAAATAGAAGCTGAGATCAGAAGACCTGTGAGGGATGGTAGTCATGGACGTCGCATACTCCCGCTGGTCAATACCGAGTGGGTCCTTCTCGGGCTGCTCGATCCAGGAGAAGCCCTCGCGCCAGTACGAGTACCTTTCGCCGTCGTAGCGCCAGTCGTAGTCTTCCCACCGGTCTTCAGCCAAGCATTGCATGTAGTGAAGGGAACTTCCTGGCCAGAGGGCGCTGACTTTTCCTGTGACGCCCTTCTTGACTATTTGTACACACTGTCAGGGATTGCGATTTTCTCAAGTTGAGAGCGTGATTGGTGCTCGGAGGTTATCGTTTACTTACACCAACTGCGACATGTGCCCGTCCACACCATGTTCTTCATGAACTCTTGAGTATGCTTATCAAAGTCGCTTTGCGCTTCTGGTCTCACGTCAAAAGATTTGACGCGTTGTCTGATGACCTTTGAGAGGATTCTGATGAAGTAGTCTCCCGTCGCTTCGATGGGGCCTGAAACTATCTTAGTTGTTGCTCAACAACAATGACATCTTCTCAAATGACGACGTACCCATGAGACTTCCGTTTGAAATGGGTGTGTTGGGGCCTAGAAAGACCATGTAATTGGGGAACCCAGAGACCCCTGTCCCGCAATATGACGTTGGCTCATTGGCCCACAGATCTTGCAAGTTGACGCCCTTGCGGCCAAGGATCGGGAAACGAGGTCGAAATGAGGTGTTGAAGCCCGTCGCAGCGATCAAAACATCGGCAGGGTACTCCACACCACCCGCAACGATACCGCTGGACGTGATTCTCTCAATTCCGTCAAACACCGGCTCGACATTGGGCTCCTGTAGTGTCAGTAGATACCTCTCCCCTGGGTTGATCCGTCGACACCCCGCTTCGAACTTGGGAACGAGCTGATCCTGCAAAGTCTTGTCTTGAATGAGACTCCTCATTCTTGTCTCGAAACGCTGACGCATAGTCCTTTGCTCCGGGTTCGCCTTGAAAAAGGCCTGAAACATTCCGTTAAACTGAGATTCTAGACCTTTTCTGGTTTCGAGATACTCCCTCTCATCTTCTCTGAACGCCTTCTTTTCGTCTATGCCGTATGTGTGTCCGGGTCGATTGGCCTCTGGCAGGGCTACCGGCGGAGATATCCACGACGGTGTTCGGATGAAGACACTGATTTTGCGAGCTTCTGTCTGGATCTCGGGGAGCAGTTGAACGGAACTCGCGCCCGCCCCGATGACACCGACTCGTTGACCGCTCAGGTTTACGGACGAGTCCCAATTGGCAGTATGAAGCACAGGCCCGGCAAAATTCTCGAACCCTTCAATATTCGGCATTTGGAAATTGTTGAGAATGCCGCTGGCGTTGACGAGAATCTCGGATACAAGCGTTGATCCATCCGCGGTGTTTACAGACCATGTACCAGAATTTTCCGACCACTCTGCTTTGGTCACTGTTGTGTTGAATTTGATGAACTTATGCAGGTCGAAATGGCGTGCTACGCCGTCAAGATACGCCTGGATCTCCTGAGATGAAGCATAGCTGCGTGATTAAATTAGTTTGCCGGAGACTACTTGCTCGAATACGTGCCATGCTTACAATCGTGACCAGTCGGGATTTGGCGCAAAGCTGAACTGATAGCAGTGACTTGGAACATCACATGCACAGCCTACGGAAAGTGAGCGAAATCGTCTTTGCAGGTCATACAAAGGGGGCACCAACCTGGGTACCTATTTTCGAACCAAGTCCCGCCAAGCTCTGGTGACTTCTCAAGGATATGTATCTCGACATATTCTTTGAGATGCTTTTGAAGTTTGTAGGCTATGGTTTAGAGCGGTCAGCCACGGGATCGACAGCAGCCAGTGAGAATTATCAAGACTAACCCATCGAGATCCCTGATACTCTGTCACACTTCCATCAGCCAAGATTCTCTCTGGTATTCCATGGATCTGTCTACTCACCCAGCACCTATGATGGTTACGCGAAGCCGCTGACGATCTTTTTTGGAAGCGTCATCGTCGAATTGATCAACGTAGCTACCGTTGACACGGTTAGAGGTGCCATTCATATAGACATGTGATGAGGTCTCATTTAAGCTGTGTGGTGCCTCTGCAGCCGAATAACTGCCATTCAGACGGCCGTTGACACCATTGGCGGTGTGATGTGTGCCGCCGTTGGCAATCGATTCTACTTTACCGTTCGCCGTCATTGTAAGGTCATGAGCCTCTGCTAGGTGCTACAATGGATTTGGATCAAGTTTGCAAGGGTGATTGATATTGCAGGTGCCAGATTATGATAGTCTTAGGATCAAGATCAGAAAGTGTAGAGATAAGTTTGATATGCCAATGATGTAGTGTCACAGGTCAAAGTTTAATGCAGGTAAGGTATTTTGATAAGTTCAGAGACTGTCATTGAGTGATGTGGACAAGCAGGGCCAGAGATGGCTGCGCGTGATTTGAGTGATCGGAGACGGCCCGTGTGATGCGCGGAGTGCAGATAAGAACAAACTGTACGGGCGTCGTTCCCATTGCAACATCAAACCTCCGTATCCTCTAAGCAAATCGAATCTGAGACAATAATAACAAGCCGATAGGTATAGAGTTTCTCAATGGCTCAAGA